GAAACTCCGGTGGGTCTGGGTGGTCTGGGTTCACCGTGTGGTAGATGTTTTCCAAAACTGAGTCAGTCCTATCACATGAGTAACCAAACACAATTGAAACTCATTCAAATGCAAGTGCTTTCTATCCGTGGACGTGATTGTTTCCCACTTATTCCTTTTGGTTTGGGGAACATGTCAAAATCCTATGCCCAGAGAAGTTCAGATAGAGTTCGCAGAAATGCTCAGTGGACACCCCAGGTAGGGTAAGGATTAGTATTTACACACTACTTACAGAATTTTTAATCTCAGGGTTGGATTTGGGGCCAAAGTCAGGTTTAAGACAAGTGGTTTTGTGATCCTAGCTGAATTGTTTTTTTCCGAAACTCCGGGGGGCCTGGATGTCGAGGTGTACCGCGTGGCAGTTGTATTGCAAAACTGAGTCAGTCGGATCACACTAGTAACCAAGTATGATTGAAACTCATTATAATGCAAGTGCTTCTATCTGTGGTCGTGATTGTTTCCCACTCATTCCTTTTGGTTTGGGGAACATGTCAAAATCCTATGCCCAGAGAACTTCATTTGACACCCTAGATAGGGTTAGGGTTAACTTTCACACAGGATTTAGACACTTTTTAAGGTCAGCACTGGATTTTGTGGCCCAAGTCAAGTTTAGGATGGGTGGTTTTGTAGTGCTATCTGAATTTTTTTTTTCAGAAACTCTGAGGGTCCTTTGTGGTGTGATACACTGCACGGTAGTTGTATCCCAAATCTGGGTCGGTGGAAACAAAAGTTGTAACAAAACATTTTCGAATGTTATACATTTGAAACAGCTTTCTCAATTGCTCCTCTCTCTTACAATTTGGTTTGGTGAACGTCTCAAATTCCAATGACTAGAGGCCTTCATAGACAGATTGTGAAACTGCTCAGTTGAAGCCCCAACTAGGGTTAGAATTTGCATTCACACACTACGTAGACATTTTTACACTCAGCGCTGGGTTTTGGGGCCCAATACAGCTTTAGGATGAGTGTTGTTTTTAGTCCTATCTGAATTTTTTTTTTTCACTAACTCTTGTCTGCCTGGATGGCGCAGTGCACCCTTTGGTAATTGTATCGCAAAACTGAGTCTGTCGGATCAAAAGTTGTAACAGAACATTATCAAATGTTATAAATTTGGAACAGCCTCCCTCAATTGCTTTGACTGTTTCTCACTTGTACACTTTGGTGTGGGGAACATGTCAAAATCCGATGACTGGAGGGCTTCAAAGACTGATTGCGAAACTGCTCAGTTGAATCCCCAGCTAGGGTTAGGGTTAGCATTCACACACTACGACAAACTTTTTACGCTCAGCGCCAGATTTTGGGACCCAAGACAGCTTTAGGATGAGGATAGTTTTTTGGTCCTATCTGAATTTTTTTTCAGAAACTCTTGGCTGCTTGGAAGGCGCAATGCACTCTTCAGTAATTGTATTGCCAAAAATGTTGGATCAAAAGTCGGAATAAAACGTTATCGTATCTCATAAATTTAGAACAACTTTTCTTAATGGTTTTGATTGTTTCTCACTCACACAGACTGGTTTGGGGTAAATGTCAAAATACGACGACTAAAAGGCTTCATAGACAGTTTGCGAAACTGCTTAGTTGAAGCCCCAGCTAGGGTTAGGGTTAGAATCCACACACTACTTAAACAATTTTTACACTCAGTGCTGGTATTTGGGGCCCAAGACAGCATTAGTATGGGTATTTTTTTGCTTTTGTCTGAAATTTTTGCTGGCTGTATGGCGTGGTTTACAGTTCAGTAATTTTCGGTTGGATCAAAACTGGGAACAAAACATAGAATCTAATGAATTTGGAACAGCATTTCTCAATAGATTTAAGTGTTTCTAGCTGATGCTATCAAAAAATCTGATTTTTTTTTCAGAAACTTGGCTGCCTGGATGGGGCGGTGTACTGTTTGGTAATTGTATCACAAAACTGAGTCTGTCAGATCAAAAGTGGGGAGAAAACATTAATGAGTCTCATAAATTTGGAATAGCTTTTCTCAATGGTTTTGATTGTTTCTCACTCATACACTTTGTTTTGGCAAACATGGCAAAATCCGATGACTGGAGGGCTTCATTGACAGATTGCAGGATTGCTCTGTTGAAGCCACAGCTACAGTTAGGGTTAGCATTCCCACAGTACTAAAACATTTTTTTATGGTCAGGGTTGGATTTTAGGTCCAAAGGGAACATTAGGACGAGTGATAATTTGCTCCTGTCTGAAATGTTTTTATTTTCTGAGACTTTTGGCTACCTTTTGTTGTGTATTGCAGTGCTCATGAATTGCATTCCAAAAC